CCCCAAAACCCCAAAACCCCAAAACCCCAAAACCCCTTTTATCAACCTTTGCTGGATTAATAAGATGTATTTTCAAGGCTGGTTTTATGGTCATTGTTTAGTAAAGCCAAACTTTTAATGAGTTTGAAGTAAAGAAGCAAATTGTCCAAAGGATATTTAGATCGACATCCTCTTTCTGTGGTATAAGGAGAACTTCCAGAAGATTATTATTACAAATATTCTAAACAGGAAGGACAGGAAAGATATTATAACCACAAATCTTCTGATACTGAGTTCTACATCTCCATCATATCTGACTCTTCTCCACCATGGTGAGGTATGCATAATTAACCAAATAAGATCTGCAATCCAAGAAACCAGAAGACTATAAACAATCAATCTGAATTGCCATCTTTTCAGGATATCCACTTTAGAAATGCTAAAACAGATAAGCACTCAAGCAGAGAGATTCACAAAATCTGTCCTCATGAAGCAAGAGCAGAGAGTAAGAATGTTGTAAATAATAGCTGACCATTGCATCATTTTAAACCAAGGAGTTGATCTTAATCCCAATATTTCTGTTGAAAAATTATCAAATGTGTTATCTACTCCTTTAGCTACTGCTCTCTCAACAGGAAAAACTTTATTGATAGCTTGGACTATTGGATTAACTTTCATTTCTTCATCCTCAGATTCATCACTTTTATAAGTTGCTATACTGTAGTCATTTGCAGAATGTCCTTTTATTGTTGAGAAATTACTGCTTTGATTTTGAGTAATGTTCTCAATCCACGGGAAGGGCTCTCTCAATTGAGTTACCTTGGTAGTATAGTAACTCTTATCACTGTAAATCTTTTCAATATCTTCATCCGTTTGAACTATTCTATCTTCTATCAGCTTGGTTTTACTATAAACCCACCAAAGTTGGAGCCTAATTCTCCCATTTGATTCCCCATATCCACCTTGAGGATCTTCCAGGTTAAACCAATCTTCAACCTTTTGTTGATCTGAAAGAGTTTGAATAGGAATATAAAGCACTCCAACTACCGAATCCTGCTTCATCATATTTCTATCCATCACAGAAACTCTAATTTCTTCTTTGCCATTTACAATGTCAAAGGTAAAACTTTCATCCCAAATTGGAGTTTTCATTCCTTCTTTATGCTGAGTCTGAGAAGATTGGCTCCCACATTCTATCACTACATAAAGATCACCTTGAGAATCATAGTCAGTTAGCTTTATATATCTTGCCTCAATAACAGTTACTGTCAGTGTACTCTTCTCCATTATTCCATGCTGATTTGCAACTTCAGTCTGGGCGACCTCTCTTAGTTGGGCTTCATACTCAGATTTTATATTCTTAAGTTCCAAAATCTTATAGTTGCATTTGCCAATATTATCACAGAAATAGTTTTCTATTTCAATATAAGCATCACATAAATCTCTCTTTGATATCCTCCCCTCAATGTCTCTATTGATACTGCTTTTATCTGAAAAAATTGCGTCAATTAATTCGTCATCAAATACTTTCCCTTCATTTCTCAATTTCTTATTCAGGATTGATCTCACTTGCTCTCTAGATAGCAAGTCTTGGTCTTGGAATCCTTCTACAAATTTATTATAACAATTACCTTCTTTGCCAAAGTCTTCAAGAAGTCTCTGCTTTTTCTCCAAAATCATATTTCCTTTAACTTCTGAGTTCCTACCTTCCTGGTCTACATACCCTGAAGTAGCCTAGAAGACATGAACAAAGCCGGAATAACATGTCAAAAACATAGAAAAAGTGAGTGATGAATCAAGATGCTTACACTAAACCTATTGCCTCCGTCCGATTGGGGATGGCTAAATTCAAATGGCTTCATTTTTAATTCAAATTTATATTCTCTCCCTGGGGTTTTGGGGTTTTGGGGTTTTGGGGTTTTGGGG